GTGCAAATGAAAAAATACCTGTTAAAACTTCATTTATACTTATTTATAACCTTTTCTCATCTTAGCATTATGGAACTCTTTCTGTGCTTCTAAAAAAGGAGTGTAACTAGAATTAAATGAACAAATGGTTAATTGTTTAAGATAACTTGTTCACAGAGAATTATTGTGGTAGACACTCAGTTGCCTTGTTCTCCTAATTATTATTATTATTATTTGTCCTTTGGGTTTTTAATGGAACATGGGGCTTGAGTAGCACGTATCCAGTAAATTCTGTTCTCCGAAATCTTTTGAACCTGGCTCCACGGCAGCCCACAAGCTCTCACTTCCTCCTCGCACGATCTCCTCCATGTCACCCTCACCTCGGGCGCCCAACTCGTCGCTTCCCATCTGGGTTCCACTCGACGGCCTGGCCTGATGCGTGATGTCCCCAGTCCGCCTTCTCAGTGTATACCCAATCCATCTCCACTTCCTTCCAGTGCATATTTGTTGAGCGATAGGTTCTTGGTTGGTTCGTTCCCAGAGCTCCTTATTGCTTATTCTTTCTGGCCATCTGATCTTCAGTAGCGAGCCAGCGTAAGCAGTTGTTGATGAATGTCTGTAGTTTGTTGGAAATCCCTTTCATAACGCGCCAAGTCTCTGAACCATCACAAAGAAGCACTGACCTGACGTTGGTGTTGGAAATCCGGATCTTGTTCCACATGCTGAGTGCAAAAGATCTCCACACTGGTTTCAGGCAAATGAACGCCTGTCTTGCTTTCCCGATTCTGACTTTGACACCCTCGTCTGTGCCGCCTGTAGTTGAAACAGTGCTGCCTAGATAGGTGGAGGAGGTTACTTCCTTTAAGTTTCTCCCGCTCATGGTGATTGGAGTTTGTTGTTCTTGTTGGAGTTGTGCGTGCGGTATCTTCATCACCTCTGTCTTCTCTATACTCACTTGAAGTCCTGTCTTCGCTGCCTCTTCTGACAACTTGTTAGTTTTCGCCCGTAGGTCTTCAAGCTTGTGTGACATCAGACACAAGTCATCGGCGAAATCCAGATCTTATAGGTTCTTTCCCCCGACCCAGCCAGCCTATCCCCCTCTTCTTGCTCCCCACTGCCCGCTGCATGATCCAGTCGACCACTATCAGGAATATCATGGGGGATAGTAGGCAACCTTGTTTCACTCCTGTCTTCACTTCAAAAGCATCACTGAGCTTCCCATTGTGAATTACTTGGCATGTGGCGTCTTCATATAGCTGTTGAATGAGGCGGATAAAGGTTTGCGGTATTCCGTAGTATTGAAGCAGTTTCCAAATTACCTCTCGGTCGGCGCTGTCAAAAGCCTTCTCAAAGTCGATGAAGTTGAGGTGTAGAGTTGACTGCCATTCTATACTCTGTTCTATGATGATGCGTAGTGTAGCGTTGCAATTTGGTCCGCACATGATTTGCACTTCCCGAAGCCTGCCTGTTCCGGTCGTAGTTTTGAAAATAGCGCATCCTTTAGCCTCTCCAGGGTGATGCGGCTTAATATTTTGCTTGCTCTGGGTGGTGGACAGGAGAGTGATTACGCGCCAGTTCTTGCAAACTCTGAGGTCTCCCTCTTCGGAAGTTTGACAAGGTAACCCTTCTTCCAATCACTAGCCAGGTACCTTCTCTTCCTTCCACACCTTCTGCAATAGTGGTGTGAGCATGTCCGCTGTTGTCTCTGCGTCTGCTCTCAGTGCTTCTGGCGGGATCCCATCTAGTCTTGCTGCTTTTCCGCATTTCAGTAGCTTTATGGCGTTCAGGACTTCCACTTTTGTTGGAGGATTCATGTTCACTTGTAGTTCAGCGGCTGCAGGTGGTATTTCTGGACGAAGTGCAGGTGGTGGTGGTGGTCGATTCAAGAGCTTCTTGAAGTGGTCGGCCCATTGTTTCCTTTGTTTCTCTTCTTTGGTAATTAGACTTCCTTCGTCATCTTTTATTGGTTTCGTCTGTGTTGATCTCTCCCCCTCCAGATAGTAACCTGGTTATTTGATACAATGTTGTCAGGTCTCTGTCTCTCCTACCTGCAGCCTGTTCTGCTTCACTTGCCAGTGTTTCGTAGAAGTGTCTTTTGTCTTTTCGCGCACTATTCCTCACTTCTTTGTCCAGTGTTTTATACATTGTACTCAGTTCCTCATGTCGTTGAGCATCCTTGCACTGGTTTATCTTCTGCTTCACCATCCTCCTCTCCCTGCTCTATCAGCTTCCATGTATCCATTGAGATCCATTCCTTATCTTCTTCCTTTTTCCTTCCTAATACTGTTGTGCAGGTTTCTTTCCACATCTCTTTCAAAGACTTCCAGTGTTCTTCCACACAGGTTTCTTCACGGTGGAACATGGGTCGTCCAAAGCAATGGCTTAATAATTCTACAGTCAAGTTCCTGCAAACTAGTGTCGCACCGGAGTCAAGGAAAAAACGTCTCACGAATGGCAAAACGACCCCATTGAAACCTGGATCTAAACGAACAGTTCCCGTTGGTAGTGATGACAGTGAGTCAGATATCGAGACAGATCATATCGCTGATTTGAAAATGTCTCGTAAAAAGCTGAAACCCGAAGGTGACACGAAACTTGAGCCAGAAAAACATGGGATTGAAAGTGAGGAGGACGAAGACGATGAAGTGGAAGATGATGATGAAGATGACGGTGATGAAGATGATGACGATGAAGATGACGAAGATGATGTTGAGGACGATGATGATGAAGAGGGTGAAGATGATGACGATGAAAGCGAGGTAGGCAAGACACCTAAAAATCTTCAGGCAGGTAAAGTTTTCAACGCAGTTGGGTCGAAGAACACTAACAAGCCAGAGTCCCAAGCAAAAGGTGATAAAATGTGTGTCGCAAACATGCCATCCAATTCCCCAAACAAGGTGGTTGCAGAGTCAAAAACACGAGTTGACGCGCACAATATTTCTATGGCGGAGTCTGTGTTGATAATGAATGGGCCTGATGACTTGGGTAGTCTCAAGGAGTTCATCTCCAAGATAAGCCCCGTCACCACCATCCTAAGTGTAGAACCCGCCCCCATACTGGTCACTGAGGCAAACTTGAACAGTGTAAAAAACCGAATCAAGTTGGGAAACATGATGCTGCAAGGAAAACAGTTAGAAGCCATACTTATGTATATACCCCAAACCGCCAAAGAGTCAATAGAAAAAAGGAAAGTGCATGTTCGTTCGTTGGTTGGATCCCTAAGTCGACAACAGTCGAACAACTGGGAAGTAACATCCCTAACGGCTGTAAACCCGTTTCCGTCAAACTGCTTGACAGAAACCCCAATATCAAAAACGTCATCGTTTCCTTCTCTTCCCCTGATGTCGCCGAAAAGGCCTTTCAAGTCCTCAGTCCCTTAATATTGGAAGGTCACAAGCTCCGAGTTTCCTTCACCACAGACCAGCAGACTCGGTTCAGTCCCGGTTCGAAGGTCAAGGTACTAGGCTTCCAGGGAAATTCCGGTCATTTTCGCAAAGAATTCCCGACATGCATTGATGTTCAGTACGGTACAAATAAAAAAAGGCGATTCTTAAATTCCCTTCTTTGGAAGTCCGACAAGCTGCCATCTCAGTATAGTGTTCCCCGGTGTCTGGAGAAATCAAATCCATGTCGCTGCCTTTTGAATATCCTTGTGCTTGTACACACCACCTCTGATCACCAAGTCATTACATGCGCAGAAGTCTGCAAACAGTTCTCCATTCTTGTCCATTTCACCGAGTGCTTCTCGACCCATGCATGATTGGTTCTCTCCCTGTGTTGTCCACTCCCAGTTTGGCATTCATGTCACCCATTGGGGTGAATTTTGATATCGCTAACTGAGGTCTTGTCCAATGTTGATTGCAGTTGTTTTTAGAACTCCTTTTTCTCTTGATCTGCATTATTTGTAGGTGAGTAGCGTAGCATTGTATGATTGTGACCTTCCTTCCTTTTGAGTTGAACCTTGCTGTCATGATCCTGCAGGAGAAGATTGGTTCCCACTGCTTGAAAGCCTTCGATGCTGTTGGGGATACCATCTCCTACTTAGCAGCAATGAATCAAAGATGGGAAACAGACAAGACCAGTGACAAAGAACAAACATTGAAAAGCAGTTTTCAATCTTTATCAAAGCTGTTGGTTTCAAAAATCATATGTTCATCAGGCTACATACTTTACCTAATTAATGAACTTTACTTAGTGCCAAAGAAGTTTTTGGCTTAAACTGAATGAAGATATGCTTGGTCTTTTAAGCATCTACTTCTTGACCATCTAGAATTGCGTTTAGGTTGACAATGGTATTTTTTAAAATTATCTGCATGCTTCCTCACGGTTTCTTCTTCAGCATATTATTCAGTAACGGTTCGAGAGATCATACATAAATGACATTATCAAAAGAAACCCGTTAAGTCATTTTCGGGAAGCAAATAAATTTCAGATTATGATAGATCTACTTCCTTTTTTTATTTCAAAAAATGACGATACATTATATTTGCAGGTGTATTCAGATAGTGGTCAAACGATTGTTGGAAATCAAATACTGCTAGACAGATGATTAAGGCAATGGTTTAAAGATGGTCAGACTTGTTTGGGGATAATCCACTTGACGGCAAAAAAGCTAACCAGGGAGTTTGACAGTGGGAATTATTTATGCTTCAGTGTTAGGTCAGTTGGTGCTACCTCATATGAGTGAACACAGAGCTAATGAATTTTTAGGTGTATATCATAGAACTTTTAAGCCATTCACGTGAACAAGCACATACTCTTCCATATCATCACATTGTTTGAAATAAGTGTTTTTCGGGGTAACACTGAAAAAATTGCGTTTAACAACCTCCAGTTAATCACCAACATATATAAAATGTAGTGACAGTTACGGGGGTTTTAGTTCCCGTTGACAGAATTGGAATTAAAAATCACTGTTTCCTGTGCACATTGAATGTCATGCTTACAGTGAACTGATTCAGAAAATCAGAGATGACTACTCTTTCGATATACACTAGATAATAAATACTTTTTTGACTAACCTGGTAATGAAAGAAAGCCTAAACGAACACTGCTTGGCAGGGGTTGGTACGCTTTAAGAGCTTTCTCACTATTCTGATAAGAAAAAATGTAATAAAAAGGAATATAAATAATATATATTGTTTATGGGTATATTTATCAGTTATTTTCCGAACGATAACCTATAACGAAATAGCCTAAAATGTTCATCAAAAACTAACAATCAGACAACGCAAGGAAACCAGTGAAAGGCATTCAAGAGTAGTAGTAGATATCCAAAAAATGGTTTGCCTACTCAATTTGTATATGAACCTTATTGATGCGAAACAATAGGGAAAAACCAGCTTAAGAACTTTCTAAATACCTATTTTACATTGGAATTTTGTATGGCAAATATATATTACAAGATTTGCATTTTGTTGCTGACAGAAAGCATGATAGTACTTCCCGGACAAAGAAATCAGTAGTCAGTTTACGAGAGAACTAAATATATGATTGTCGAAATCAGAAACGCTGTATACCAAACTGAACGAGGAGATTAAAATGTTAAACGTATCTCAACTCTACTTCACTCATAACAACAAATGCATAACTCCCTTTTTTAACGATTTGAAAATTTTCACTTATTGCTCTAATGACTAAGACCTATTCGCATGCATCACCATATACATAAAAACATATTATTTAGTCATAAAAACAAGACATGTATCAGGGAAGAAATATTTCTTTTCAATGACTTCATTATTAAGCTGTACAGTCGTATTTATACTTGGTAAAGTGACAGATAATTGCACTGAAAAGTTGCTCAGTCAATA